TTACATATGTACAAAGGAAAAAAGCCTGGAAATAGAGACATCAGAAAGGTAACTGATTCTAAGGTCAGAGTTTTTCTTGAGGCTGAATAAAATATTTTCAATTTAGAGGACTTATTCTGACATGTCCTTTTATTTTTTTGATGTTAACATGCTTTTATGAAGGAATGGTTTTAGTAGAACACTAGCTGTATAGATATATTTGCAAAATTAAACACTGACAGCCTATGTCAGCAGCCCTGTGCACCCCACCCTGTTTTGTTTTGTTTTCCTTAATTTTACAGAAGTCTGAATACAGAACTCTGGAACCCACTGCTCTAGGGAAAAGACTTAGGAATCTCTTCCTCGCTCCACTTCCTTTGGCTTTCCTTGGATTCAAGGTTCTTGCAGCAGGACCTGGCCCTGATTCAATGGGAGTTTAGAGGAGGGAATTTATTTCCATCCAGGAAAAATCAGTGTAACCTCCTGGAGGAGGTGACATTTGGGTGGGGCCTTGACTGATGGGTGAAATGTAAAGCTGTGCAAATTAACAAGGGGAAGTGAAAGCAATAAATGAGCAAACATGCTGAGGTGGGAAAACACAAAGCAGTATGGGAAGCAGAAATATAGAATTTAACCAAGCAGTACGGCCAAGCTGTCCACCAGAGGCACTGGTTGCAATGGGGCTATTGTTTTCTGGGAGTTTCTAGGCTGTGTCAAACTGCAGGAACTTCAGGCCAGACAACTGTATGCTGCAGGTCTCGTACTCAGCCATCCCTGCTGCTGCTTCCCCTAAATGAACACTCCAGCAGGAGCAGTTGAGGAGTCTCCCTAGTAACAGCTTAAAAGGCAGCGTCCACTGTAAACACTTGGAGGACTGGAGTCAGAGCTGGGTCTGGGGCATGTGTGGCCAAACCGCTGCTTCCCGCGTCTGCGGTGAAAGGAGCGCAGGTCCTGCAGCCAGGTTCCTGGAGAAAAACCCTGATTGTTTTTTCCAAGCGCTTAGGCGTCCGCCCCACGTTCATCCTTTCCCTCTAAACTTACTTTTCTAAAATTCCTGTCTGGGAGCAAGTGGCCTCCACGGGGAGCTCAGAGCAGCACTTCGTGTATGTTAGACACGTCCGCGTTCTCCAGCCTTGAGACTAGAGTCACCTGTGCAAGGCGGTGCCTCAGTGGGTGATGAGCCGTTACTCAGCTTCCAGCTGCACAGATCACTTGCTGCCTCAAATCAAGTCAAATAATGCCCCCTTCACTTGGTGTGGCCTGAAACTATACGTGACACACTCCGAAACCCCGGAGAGGAAGCAGATCACAAACAATTCCATCGGGAACAAATGGGAGATGCCTGACCAAGCAATCAGAAATATGCATTTATGAAATTTACCTTCCACTTACCTGACATGCAGTGACAGGTTATTTTTAAAAAAATAATTCCTGTATTATTTTTATTTAATAAATATATCTTTATTGATTTCAGAGAGAGGAAAGGAGATGGAGAAAGAGATATAGAAACATCAATGATGAGAGAGTCATTGATCGGCTGCAGCCCGCAACCCAGGCATGTGCCCTGACTGGGAATCGAACCCCGATCGCCTGGATCCTAGGTCGATGCTCAACCGCTGAGCCACGTCCAGCCCAGCAGATTCCTGTATCTTTAAAGTTCTCACAATTAATACATTCTAAAGATTTGGTATTTTTTAATAGAGGAGCAACTCTACAGTTGCCTAGAGGTTTTTTTCCACATTGTCTTTACTTCATTTCTATTTCTTTTAGAGGTGTCTGTCACCATTGACTATATAGATCGATTTCGTTACAAGATATATAATAAAAATCTCTTTATATAAAAACAAAATAGACACCCAGAAGCCCCTTCGATTTCAAATAATTTTACAGTCTTACAACTGAGGTAACTTCACCCTCTCTCTCCTTTCCCCAATTCTTGGTAATGTAATTTGATCTATAGAACCAAAGTGAATTTTTCACTAGCATGTGTGAAAACGTCCCCCCCTGCTGTCCAACCCAACTTAGAATGTGGCATGCAGCAGCCCTGTCTCATTTGTAAATGAGTCCTATGCCACTGAAAGATGGAATCAACCTAGTTACTGGCACTTAAACCGATTGTGCCCACAGCAAGGCCCCACGTTGTTCAAGGGTAATGGGAGAAGAGACAGGACATAGAAGCTGGGTCGATGATAATGGGAACCCAGTGCTGCGACTCCCCGATGCAATATTTCTATTTAACCTGCTGAACTGTGTAGACTTTTACAACTAGCATGCCTCTGACGTGATGGACAAGGCTAACTCATTTCAGCGGGGCAGCTCCCCCAGCAATCTGCTGTCAAGTAGCTGAACAGAGAGCCCTGCTCAGCTCTGGGAAGTCAGACAATAATAAACCCTTATGTTGGTTTAATACTTTCTAGTTTACAAAATATTTTGAACATACAGTTTCATCACTCTGTAAGGTAAACAAAAGTAGTTCTACCCCCATTTTCAAGATGGAGAGATTTGGAGGCTGGTACACCCCCTTGCGGGCTTGGTCAACCTGAGCTATCTTGCCAATCCCAAGGCCTTGGTTCTCACTGAGCTGCAACTAGGGAGTCACCGAGGTGTCCTCCCTGTTCTTTCCCCAACTTATTTTTTTCTCCCATGACCCAGAATTTTTGGGAAACTCAAAGGGTTTTTAAGAGATCCCTATAGTTAACTGGGAGGTTGTCTAGTTAAAAACAAAAGCAGTACCCCTGGACTTGTTTCGGACTGTAGACACGGACAGTGTTCTTCACTGACCTAAACAGAGAGTGACATACACGACAGAGGGCAGGAGAGAGACAAGTGCAACAGCAGCACGCTCTCCTGGGTCTAACACTCGCCACAGTTGTGGAATTAGCTCCTCTACTTCGAGAATGTCCGGGAAGATTATGTTTGCTAATTCTTGGAGGAGGGAAGTAATATGTTTTTCTACCAAAGACAAGCAAGCCTCACCAAAGTAGATCCTTTGTAGAGTCCTAAGTAAGGACAGAAGCTGATGGAAAGAAGAATTTCCATGGCTTTAAATGTTTGGACAAGAGTGGATTTGCTCAACTTGATGTCAGTAGAAGGAAATGAAGGGAGTCGAATAATGTGTTTTCAAACTAGCTTCAGGGCACGTGCTCCTGAGAAGTGATGCATGTGTGATGGTCACAGAGATTTTGAAGCTCTCTAGGGCGCCTGAGAAAAGTCTTGAACACATTCTGACAAAGCTGTTACAGTGTCCAGGAGTTAACACACATATCAAATGGCACAATCACCCAACTATCTTGTTAAGACAAACTAAAGTTTATATTGGAAATACAAATACTCTCAACCTATATAAACCCAGGGTAAAAGGATCATACCCTTTCTTGAAATAAAAATGCTAAAGATATTAATGCTTATCATTTCCATCCCAAAGAGCAATTGGTTTATTTAATTTGTTCACTCATTCAACAGATATTCATGGAGCACTGAGAACATGGGCACTGATGATTCAGTGGTAACAAGACACGACATAGACCCTACTCCCTAGATGCTGACACTCAAGTGAGAAGATATTAATGAACACTTCCACTCCCAATCAAGATGGGGTAGCAGGGAGCAGATTTACTCTCCCATCTGAAATAACTGAAAAAGAAAAACAGAAATAATATACAAAACAATGGTTTTCAAGATACTGGACATCAGGCAATAAAAGACAGTGATCCTGTGAGATGGAAAATAAACACGGTGAGCCATATGACTGCCTCACCCACTGCCCTGAAAGACTGTCCAGGCTGCACAGAGAGGGGAAATTCCGGCAGAACCCAGTGGACACTGGAGCTCAGGAGATAGAGGTGAGGGCTCAGGGAGAGCAAGGCAGCTGGAGTTTGCAGAACAGAGCACCAGAGAGGAGAGTGCTGCAGAGAACCTGATATCTAGAGAGGGTTCCCCTCTAGTACTCAAGAGAGTACCTACTGATGAGAATATGAAATGAGGCTGGGGAAATAACCATTGGAAAGGATTAAAGGGAATAGCACTCAGCACTCACACAGGTACCTATTTCCATTAGCTAGATTAGAAAGCTCGTAATTCATGGGGCATGGGAAAACCTTTCCTTAGTATTGTGAAATAGTTTGTCCCAGACTGAGCCCTCTTTCAGGCCTGCCTAATAAATTACAAAAGACAGACCCACAGAAATAGAACTATTTCCAAGTAACTTAACTGTATCCCAACACAAAAGTAAAGAATATTTGTAAGACAGACCCAGTACCCAACAAGATAAAATTCACAATGTCTGCATTCTAATTGAAGATTATAAGGTATGCAAAGATGACTTATACTGAGGATTTGTATCCAGAATTTATTTTAAAAATCTTCCCAAAACTCAAAAATTAGAAAACAACCCAGCTTAAAATAAAACTGGCAAGAGATTTGAACAGACATTTCACCAAAGATACGTGAATGACAAATATGCACATAAAAAATGCTCAACAATATAAGTCTTAAAATATGCAAATTAAAACCACAATGAGATACAGCTTACCTACTAAAAGGATAAAATCTTAAAAAGTTGACCTACCAAGTGATGACACGAATGTGAAAGAACTAGAGCTCCTATGCATGGCTGGTGGGAACGTAAAATGGCGTAGCCACTTTGGGGAGCAGTTTTTTTAAATTGTTAAACATACACCTGCTTCAATGGCTCAGCCATCCCACTCTTACTTACCTAAGAGAAATAAAAGCTAACATCCGTACAAAAGCTTGCACAGAAATATTTGTAACAGGTTTATTTGGGTGGGCAGTGGGAAGGGGACACTTGGAGATGATGGTAATCACAGTGTTTCCATCACCAGGATGATTCGACTGGGTGCCTACGTCTGCATCATGCTGATGACGTTGTACACTGTAAGTATGTGCAGTTTATTGCATGTCAAGTATACCATGGCAAAGCTATTAAAATATTAATGGGCTCTACATTCTAGGGATTCTGGGAGAACAATTGGTTTCATCTTCAAATATTAATTACACTTTGGTAAAAGTACTTTAGAACTTTATTTTTAAAGTTGCAGGAAGAAAACTAAAAGTTATCAACATTAGCTCACTGAAAAACAATGTTGTATACACTAAGTACAAAGTAAAAATGAAGAATTCTCAGTCAGTAAATAAAACCAAATCTAACATAATTCTCAACAATGAATAACACCACTCAGAGTCCATCATTTGGAGCCTGGCAGTCGTCTCTGCTCTGGGCGCTGCTGTGGCTCCCAGCAGCGGAGCCCTCGGGTCTGGAAATCTGAAGGGTAGTCTTCAGTTGTCCTCCGAGCTCCTCTATCAGAGGCCTAGCTGCTCCAGGAGCCCGGGAAGAGGGCAGTGGCTCTCCCTGACCAACGCTAGCCCTCAGGATAGCTGAACTTCTGCACAGCCCTCCGCCATCAATGAACAGGGCACTGCTTTCGTCAAGGCAGGGACCTTGCAAGGAACTGACTCTCTCAGATTCACTGTCTTTGAGCTCCTCAGCCTCTGAGCCTGAGTCTGCAGTCTCAGGTGATGTGCTGCTGTCCGACTCCTGTGAACCACTTGCCTCAGAGCTGGAGGAAGGTATCCGCTGCCTGGGAACGGAATGGATTGCTTTCAATGCAGCTTCTTCCTCCTGAACGAGAAGAGCTGCTGCTTCCAGCTCTTCCACTTCTAATCCCAGCTGGGCCTTCGTCAGGGATACTTCTTTCAAGGCTTCTGCAAGAGTTGCCAACTTTTTGGACCTTGAAAACCATTTGAAGAAGAGATACTAAGATTATTCATTAATCGGCCTGTGGAAAACAGGATACATTGCATAAAGTAATGACAAAGTAAAGCTGGATCCATACTTTACATGACTTGCCAGGATACACCCCCCCAACATATCAAAGATGTAACTGTAAACCGAGGCTAGTCAAGTATTACAAGGAACCATGGGAGATTTCCTGATGATCCTAGAATAAAGAAGGTCTTTCTAGCCAGGACTCAAAAGCCAGAAGCCACAAAAGAAAAGAAAAGGTGAATAAATTCAACCAGTAGAAACCAACAACTTCTTCAGGGCAAAAAAGCCATCATAACTAAAGTCAAAAGGCTAATGCAAAATTGAGACAAATACCTGCAACTCCAATCACAGAGCAAAGGCTAATTTCCATAACCCATCAGTAAAATGGACAAAAGATGTAATTCTCACAAAAGGAAATACAAAAGCCTCTTAACTTCAGTCAAATAAGAGAAATACAATCTGAAGTCACACTGAGATATAGTTTTCACTTATTAAACTGGCAAAAATCTAAATATTTGATAACATGCTAAGGCTGTGGGGGAAAAGGTGCCTCCATACCCTGGTGGTAAGAGATGAAGCAGGCACAACCCTATGAAGGAGCACTTGGCAACAGCTTTCAAAATCGAAAATGTCCATACTTCTGACCCAGCAAAACCATCTCTGGAAATTAAGTACATATGCTACATAACACAGGCCCAAGGTTTTTACTACAAACTGTTTATAATACCCCAAGTGGGAAACGATCAAATGTCCATGGGACCAGCTGGGTCATTACGGCACATCCATACAAAGGAAAGTCCACAGCTGCAGAAGGAAGGGGGGGGGGCACTCCATGGGCTAACCAAGACAGACTGTTTATCTTTAAGCATCTGTGAATGCAATACCTATTCAATAGTTTTAAATGCACAAAAAAGGGGAAAAAAGGCAGTATTAAGAGAGTAGCATAGTGTTTTTTATTTTTGTCAGAAAACCATTTCATGTTATTTCAGAGGATATTTTTCTAAATTTATCACATTACGTTATATTGATTAAACTTTTTCATTAACTTGCAAGTACTGAGTTGTTTTTTGCTTTGAAAGAAGCAACACAAAGCATACTGCAGTTCTCCAAAACCTGTCTTTACTATTTTAGAGAGGATAATCTGATGGGACTACTGAGAAAAGGAGGCAGTGAGTGAAAATGGTCATGGCTTCTATGTTTCCCTAACTCCAAAGATTAAGTAAGTGTGTAAAACATTTAGTGGCTCTGAGGCAAATGGGATGAGGGTGAGTTCACAAGAGAAACTCACTTATAAAAGTGCAGTCCATCTCCTATGGAGAACGGGGCTTCATTTCAATAGAGCCGAAGAGAATGGATCCTGCAGTGGGAACTACTGAACAGAGGTGGTAATTTTTATCTAAGTGCCAAATATATTTGAGACCCTTTGTCTCAAAATATTTAGTCCAGTAATGAGTTTGTGCAGGCATGGCCCCCACCACCTCTCCACAAGTGAAGTCATGCCCAGGGCTCCACGGCAGCCTGGAGACGGGGTAAGGGCAACGGCCACGGCTGATGGGCAACTCTCTCCTATGTGAGGCAAGCCCTGAGTCTCAGCGCTGGAATTTCCAGAGCCGAGGAAAGGAAAGGTGGCAGGGTAAAGCAGAGACTGGGTGAGACCTACAGGAGCCAGTAACTAACTCACCAAAGGGCGATAAACTGCATTAACTCTGGCCAGCGAGGCAGCTTTAAAAGCATACTGATGGAGTAAGATAGCGGCAATGTAATTCCCATCCATGTTCAAGACCGTTACAGATGCTGTCCACCAGACACATACACTGAAACCTTAACTACCAGTGCTGAAGAGATCAGCCAGAGCTTGTGGACCAGTCTGAAATCCCTTTCCAGGCTCTGCCAGCCTGAGAGCGAGCTCACAGCCTCCTTCCCACTGAAGAAGCCTTGTCTGCAAAGTGACACAGCTTTAAGAAATAAAGAGCAATGAAAAAGCAGTGGGAAAGAAGACAATGCCTCTTATTAATCTGTTATATTAGAAATAAAACTTTTTAATATTAGAAATAAAAATTTTCAAATAAAAGCTTTTACTTTAGTAAATGTGAGACCATACATCTCACATTTTTAATACTCATGACAAATACTTCCAACAATACATGAAGGAGAGTGTTTCACCGCACGGCCCCCACAGTACAGATGGCGAAGCAGACGCTGGGAGGGGCTGAGAGACCTGGTGGGCGTCCCCAGCTAACAGGGGCGGCCAGGGCGGAAGCCCACTGGCGCATGGTACCCAGGCTCTGAAGTTTTGCCTCCTAGGGCACATTCTTCACCTTCCCAATTAGAGCTCAAGTCAACATCTTCCAAATAAGCAAGTTCTGACTTGCACAGGCCCAGAATTCTCCAAAGAAGCGATGGCTGATACCTTTTATTTAGCACTCTTAGAGTTGGTTCTAAGTCTGCCACTCCTTGAAGTATATACACCTAAGCTTTGACTACAGAGGTTTAGAATAAGAGAAAAAAACTGAATTATTTTGGTGGATATTAGTACATACAATAGTAGGTAAGTGTAAGGACAGAAAAAAGGCTGCTCTCTTTGCTGTGGTCGTCCACAACTTATGCGAAGCACCTGCTGATTAAGCCCCAAGATTGCTGGCTCCTCTGATTCAAACAGCCCCTCTGTTCAAACTGCACACAAGCTAAGCTACTCTCAAGGCTACACTGCTGCATCCCCCCCTCTTGCTGTCGTCACAGCTCAGGGATAATTCCCACCAAGGAGTCTCTAGTTAGCAGAAAGTCCCCTTCAAACAAGCCTTCTTTGACCTCTTCATCACTTTTGCTCTGAACATGTTTTACAGGCCTGGGAAAATACTGGTAAGACATGTCCCTAGGACATCTGCCGGATTATCTCCTGGAAAGCAAACAAATTATAACTTTTCAAGACAGCCCCTGGTATCTGCTCAACTTCAAGACAACCCAACCGCCCCGTTCCTTGTTGCCTAGCAACATACCTGCTTAAAAGAGCAGGCCGGCCCTTTGTTTCTTGCCCTTGTATTGATTAGCACGCATGGGCCCTTTCCCTTCTCAGGGAAAGTAAAATAAACTTTCTCCTTGTATCTCTTCTTTTAGTTGTGAAATCTCTCACAGCCCGGTGTCACTGGTCAAAATCCTAACAATAAGTCACCTCAAGTTAAAATTATTTTGATCCTTGTTATTATCTATTATAAAAATGTTACATCTGTCATTTATAACAGTATCAATCTGGAATTTCACAGTCCCTCACCTGAAACCCTGGCTCCTTGCATACCCCACATATGTTGGGACTAAAAAGCGTCAGCTCTCACAGGCAGAGAAGTGTTGAGGACGAGCCCTGGGCCCACTCAGAAGCTCATGCCTATTACCAGTTGCCTGAATTTTTATCCTTCAGAAAGAAGTCTGTTTCTCACTTCGCACTACACTATGTTTAAGGTGACCCACTGACAGAAGATACGTAAAAAATGATCTACATGTTCATTTTTGGCTCTTTACCATGCTGATTCTTCTCTATTTCTTATCCTACTCTGACTACTTCAAGCTGGCTAGTTTCCGAAATGAATGTTAAGGTTCTGATAGGAACATGAAGTTTATAAAAAGGCATACTGAACCCTCTCCCTAAAGAACGCTAGGAAAAAAGTGATTAAAAATTTCAAAATAAGCCCGGCCGGGCGTGGCTCAGCGGTTGAGCGTCGGCCTAGGATCCAGGCGATTGGGGTTCGATTCCCGGTCAGGGCACATGCCCGGGTTGTGTGCTCGATCAATGACTCTCTCATCGTTGATGTTTCTGTCTCTCTCTCTCTCCTTCTCCTTTCCTCTCTCTGAAATCAATAAAGATATATTAAAAAAAAAAAAAAAATTCAAAATAGCACTGGTGTAGAATGTGTTCTAATAGTCTGAAGAATGAAAGTTGGGTTTGTTTCTATTCGATTCTTTTCCACAGATAACTTAGCAATCACTGTTTGCTGAAAAAAAAAAAAATTACATTATTCCTTTGGAGAAAAAAATTAAGCCATGAAAGAGCAGCTTTTGTCCTTTCAACCACATACAATTAAATTAAAGGTGGTTCTAAGTCTGCCACTCCTTGTAAATTTGAGAGTCTGCCTCTGTAGTGCCTTTCCACTTCAGAAAGCATCTCACTTAATGTAGTTAGCGGCTTTTCACTGTCACACTCAGACCAGAATAGTTCACGTCAAAAAGCCTTGTTGAATGACATTATCAGTTAACCACAGCACTTACAAACACCAGGCACATGCTGACGCATCTCAATAAGCACACATGCTGAGTTAGTTACTAGCTGTACTTACAGTATATATTTTATATCTAAGTAAAAAACATCTACCTATAAGAATGTATTTATTGCAGAACAAGAACAAAGAGATTTAGCATTTAAAAGAGATAAATGAATCATACTGTCATATTTTAATAAAATTGTACTAAAAACAGGTTTTTCTTAGAAAGTTTTAGGACATGTAATCCTACCATGTAACTTCAAAAAAGTTTCATTTTGTTTGTATATGTGAAATAATATTCTATTTAGAAAAACGTTTTAATTAAAGACTGCTTTCTGACAAGTTACAGTAAATACAACTACCATGAACAAGCAAGAGCTAAAAGTATACGCCTTTACCATGGCTGAGTTCACATAAAATCTCCTCGATTATTTCATATTTGGTGACCAAGTTTAGGGGGAGAAAAAAAGGATCCATGGCCTTATGAAACAGCCAAAAACAAAGTGCAAACAGAGCCCTGAAATTTAGGAAAAAAGAAAACTGGGTATAAATAGAAAGCATACATTCTGTTTCTTGCTGTTGAGCTTTGTCTTAAACTATCAATCGACTTTTCACTATTTCCTGCAGTATCAGGTCTACTATAAATCTCGTAGTAACTGACTAGGTTTCATTTCCTCTGCCCAAACCTGCTAACCTGCTGGGCATGACAAAC